AAACGATTGTGCGGAGCTAGCAGTGACAGCTAGCTCCGCCCAATAGTTTCCTATTGTCCAACGGCTCTGCTGCTGTCAAAAAAAAAGAAAAAAAAAACTCCCAGGCGCTCTGGGAGCCTCCCGCTTCCAGCCGCCCTATAGAGAAGCACTGCTGTGTCTTTTTTTTCTTTATTCTGACACAAGCGATGTCAGAATAGAAAAAAAAAGAAAAAAGAAATGTTCCCATTGAAAAGCATTGGCACATTACTATTGGCTACTTCAATTTGCAATAGCCAATAGTACTAGCATTGTACCCGCCCTCTACTGATGGACCTGATGGAGAACTGCAGCAGAGGGTGGGTACAATGCTAGTTTACTATTGGATATTGCAAATTGAAATAGCCAATAGTAATGTACCAATGCTTTTCAATGGGAAATGTATTTTTTTTTTTATATTCTGACATTGCTCAGTGTCAGAATAAAGAAAAAAAAGAAACAGCAGTGTTTCTCTCCTTGGCGGCCGGGAGACTCCCTGGGCGCCAGGGAGAGTTAGCTCTTTGGAGATCAGTGTCCCTGGTTAGCAGGTAACAAGGGACGCTGATCTCTCTGCAAGTGGCCGGCTGTCAGAAGCAGGCTGTCGGCTTTCAGCTTCGGCTTTCAGCACGGCTCAGCCGAGCCGATGCATATGCGTTCAGCTCGACTGAGCTGCTCAGCCATGTTCGGGAGCTGTACGGGCTATTGTGAATAGCCCGTACAGCACCCCTTCGGTTCTACTGAAACCGAAGGGGTCCTGGGGCCGAAGCTATGGCCAGATCCTTCGGCAGCTTCGTGAATAGACCCCTAAGATTCTGAATACTTAATTCGGATTGGATGCTGTTAATAACTGTATTACACTGCACTAGAAAATATTTTCAATGAAAGTCAGCAATGTACAGACTTCTGTAATAAACAGTTACTAGTCATTCAGTATAAGTGATTTAAAATTGTGGGGGGACAATTCATTATAAGCAAAAGTGCAGTGACTTGTTTTATGCAGCCTACATAGCCTTGAGGGCTGTGATGTGCAGCATCTCATGTTGTTAATATGGACCTAATATGGACCTAAAGACAGAAATGTTCCCCCACAATGCCTGCTGGGCAGAGGTATCCTCTCAAGAGAGCACTCCAGGTGACAGGTAAGTATTTGGCTGTTGTTTTTAGGATATACTGAAAGCATGCGGACCTAAAGTTGATTTCTGATATTACATCAATTTTAATCAGAAACTAGTGTTCCGAATACAAAGAAAATACATTTCCTTGATTAGTTATTATATGTGTCTGCACTGAGTTGTTTTTTTTCCCTGATTCTAATTAAGTCCACTTGTGGTGGCCAGAAGAGTTTTGGGCTTACTGCATTATTTAGTCAGGTTTAACTTAGCTGAGAACTAGACAGAAATAATTACTCACTGTGCTACTTTTCATGTGTGTTCCAAGTTCTAAAAGTGAACTTGTTTTGTGTCATGCCTACAATATTATCCCTTATGTGCAGTTCTGGAGCATCCTTTTGACATTTTACAAAAGAGCTTAAAATAGCCTGTGTGTCTATTGGGTTGAAATGTTTACTTTCTTCAGGGCAGATATGGCTTCATGGCTTTGCAATGACTGAACTAAACAACACAGCAGCAGATAATGGCAGCCCTCCGGCAATACTGGTGTGCGCTCTCCTTGTCATTAAGCGAACATGAGTTTCTCTTGTTCCCATGTAGGCCAGTAATTGTATTGGGTATAATTTATTTTCAAAAGCTTTCACTCTAAGGCCAATATTTTCCAGATTTATCTGCCAGGCAAGTATTATGCCCTTAAAACCAAAATGCAGGCAGTGAGAAAAACACATTTATTAAATTATTCCTCTAGATATTATTCTCATCTTTTATGCTATGGGTTTAGCATGTTGTCTTTATAATAGCAGCCAGAGAGTAGAAAGTAAAGTATCCGTTCTCAGGTTATACCAAGTCTCAAACCCACCAATATCAAAATCATAGTACATGTCCTGTGTGATTCATAATAGCTATAACAACAAATTAGTCACAGCCTTACAGAGTGAGCCTTATGTTATAATCGTGGTATGTCCGAGGTTAAAGTACTAGAAAGTTTAGAAGTAGAGATGGAGTAGTTCCCTTGTTGATCTGGCAGTCTTGCCTCTGGGTTGGAAGATGTGAGGTGCTCACTTTGCATTCCTGCACATTAAGGTTTAGAGAACCACACCTTTCCTGTTTATATCCCATCTACCTGTACCTGTGCATTGAGGCTATTCTAAGCTCTCTATTGATCCTTCTCTTATGTCACAGCCCGCTAGCAATCCATAAAGAGCAGCTGTGAAACTTTGTACAAACTCTGCTTCCCTCTTTCTTCCCTCTATTTTCCATTGTCTTGAATCACCCAACCTCAGCCAATAGAAAAAAAAGGAATAGTCATTGTATCCAGACAGACTGTGTAATCACTTACTTTCCTTCAAAAGCCTAATTTCCACTCGGACTTTTTTAATGTGCACGTTTTACTTGCTTTACTTGCTTTTTTATTGAATATAGAATGTTTAGGACAGAAGTACGAACATTAGATTTCACCAAGGGATACATATGAAATTATCAGGATAGTGGGGCAAGCCCCTTGCATATCATCATAAGGAAATGTTGTGAGTATTTTACCTTAGTATGTCTAATAGTGAACATGAAATTAAGTTGATGCAAATAATTAAGTTGTGGAAGCATGTTCTACTTTAAATTCCATTAAGAAAAATAGATTTTGGAGAAATCTAAAAGAAAAAAGTTTAAAGTGACCCTGTCACTGCAGGGTCACATTTACAAAATAGGTCACTTATAAAGAAAGAGTTTATATACTTAACTTTTCAATGGCCTGTGTGTTTCCCAGTCACTGCAAGTACTCTACATTTCCAGGGGTGTAGAATGCTTTCTACCCCTTTGAGTGCTGTGATTCCTACCACAGGCTCATATGTCACTTCTAGATGTATGAGCTGGTGGGAGAAATCACAGTATCCAGCGGGGAGAGCAAGTGTTCATCTCATTCAACTGTTTAATGCTTGCAGTAGCTGGGGAATGGAGAAGCTGAAGCTTTTCAATATATGTGCCACCAGAAAGGTAACTATATAAAAACACTTCTTTTGCTGGTGACCTGTTAGGTAAACTTCACCCTGTGGTGATAGGGTCACTTTAAGCCTAGTGTTATTATCTCAGATGCTATGGATACTTGTTGAGTTTGGTGACAAAGGGCATATCTTTGTCATTAGCCATGGGGGTATATCGGTAATTGCCTTGTGTAAATAAGTAATATGTAGTTATATGAAGTCAGATCCATTGTATGAAAACTTTTACAAATCTCACTTTTTTGGATTATTTAGTGTTCCTTGTCATTTTCAAATTAAATATCTATTTCATTGTTTGCTTACATAAACTATACATTTTTACATAAAATATCAGGCTTCACATCATGTCCAAGAAAACTGGAACATCTGGCCAAAGTAGACATTTTTATTAATCAAGCACTCTTATAAAACATAAAACCTTTAATGAAAACATTAAATACTTCTTAAAAATCTCTCAATTCAAAATAGTTTTGTCTTTTCTGTTTAGTATAACTACGAAGGGATGGAGATTGACAGCCTCCCAGTGGAACTGACTGTGGTATGGAACGGGGATTTCAGCATTGACAATCCAGCTCTGAACAAAGGTAAAGTGGAACTTCGGCTTGGGCTACAAAGTTTCCATGGCAACATCACTTATCTATTGCTGAGGCTTATAGGCCTAACCTTTTCAGTACTCATTTTGTATAACTCTCATTGAAATGGAATCCCTTCATAGTCACATTTCCATATCATTTATTTTCTGTGACTTCATCACATTTACACAGTCAAACAGGTTAAAAAATACACATCTGTCAGTCTCCTACAAACTCTAGCAGTTCTCTTCCATAAGAAGGCAAAACAAACCCCTGGGCAATTTTGTCCAGTTTTTTCTCATAGGGGATACATTTGCTCCCTGACCTTAGAAAATAGTTTTTCATACTATCCTTGATTACCCATTTGTTGTAAGAAAGGCATCCAGTCTTTTTTTAAATTATGCTACTTATTGTCCCATTACTTCTTCAGGTGGTAGGGCATTCCAGAACCCAAGTACTGTAAAGAATTAATACATTTACTGTAAAATTGTCTTTCCTCCAGGCACAGCTCATATCTTTTCTTTGTATACTTCTTGGTAAAAAAGGTTTATTAATTGCATAGTTATATGAACCCTGTATATATTTATATGAAATAATTAAGTCACTTCTAATATCTTTTTTTATTTACTAAACTATGTTTTTGACCCTTTCAATAAATATAAAACCTACTATCCCTATCATTAATTGTGTTGTTTGCCTTGACCTTTGCCAAATCTCTTATGTCTATTTTACAGTTTAGTGCCCAAAACTGTACTCCATATTCAAGATGTGACTAAAGTGATTTACCATATATTCTCCTTTGATATATCCATTCATCATCAGGTTTCTCAGTTTTCTGTTAAAGTGTATGTTAAAGAAAGAAACATGACTGTATAATTAAGCTGATTATATAATAGCTATAGTTTTTGATACCATTTAAAACAAAAGTATTTTTATGTACCAGCACAGTGCATAGGGTGGGCTTACTTGAGATTACTGAGAAATACATTATTGATTATTTTGTGGAATGTACTTACTGTGAAAATAGTCCATAGTGCACAGCATGCAAAGAGCACCTATTCACATGATAACTACTTTAAAGGCTTACCTCTACTTTTGACATGTCATTTACAGTTCACCTGTACAAGTGTGGTGCCAAGAGACCAAGCTGTGGCCTGTGCTTGAAGGCTGATCCTGATTTTGAATGTGGTTGGTGTGTTGGAGAAGGCAAGTGTACACTCAAGCAGCATTGCTTACTAGCAGAAACTTCTTGGCTTGAGCTATCAGGAACCCATGCAAAGTGTGCAAATCCGAGAATAACACAGGCAAGTATAAAGGACATGTTTGACGCAAAGCTGAGGGACATATACACTGCAAATCTTCTTATAAGATTATATAGCAGTATAAACATTTATACATCTTTTGCTCAGCCTTACAAAGGGCAAATGACATTCACATGACATTCCTGTCACTAGACAGAATGCCGTATGACTGGCATTTACCCAGCGCATGGCTGGAATTTAGTTTTATAAACCAACCTATAAGTAAGCAGCAATAAGGAACACTAATGTTTTACAAATTATATAGTAGTATAAACATCAGCATGCCAAAATATTCTAGTAACATGCCATTACACATACAGGCAAAATACAGACAATGTACTGATGAAGAATATTTTCATACTTATATAGTTTAAGCTGCAGTATAATGTACCTTAGGGTCTGATCAAGATGTGACTGAATGTTAGGCTTCATGCTGTTACAAGTCCATTAATGGTTTTGGTCTTTACATGATACAATGTAAGTCCATCCATGGCATTGATGAATGGTATTGGTCCATGCTTTCTCTCATGCACATTTAAATCCCTTTAAATGTGAATACACACTCTATAGGGTTGATTTACTAAAGGTTAATAGGCTGTTCACTTTGCAAGGGAATTTGCACTTTGTTAGTGAGGCCTCCCCTTACCTTAGTGATTGAGGTACAATTTGTTTTCCCTTGCATATGATTGGATATTCTTTGCAAAGTGAAATTTCACCACATTCACTAAGCTAGGGGAAAATTCCCCTGCAAAGTGCAAATTCCCTTGCAAAGTCAACAGCGTATTTACCTTTAGTACATCAATACCCGTGCCTGCATCATCTCAGCCATCCTGTTTCTACAATGCTAGCAGCATTAGCAATGATAGCTTTAATGTGCATGATAGTTATCACCATACAGCTATATATGAAATTTGTTACTGTGCTGTGTTTCAGCTCAGTAGGTTTAAAAAAATGGCTCTGCTGCATTTTTTTCTTCAATAGTCCATTATTTTAGGTCTATATGATTGAATGGGAATTCATGTGTTGTCATTATGTTACAAATGTGCAATTATCTGCTGTGATACACAAAATGCACATACAAGCATATCTGAAAGCCACACTAAAACTTCATATATATTCATTATAAACTATGCACCATGTTCTGCAAAGGCAATGTTTAGTTAACTAACTTAACTATGTTATACCTATTTGATAAACAGGAAATTGTGTTAATGTTAAGGTTCAGATAATAATTTCAAAATATCTCCTGAGAAGACATCATACATATGACATTTGATTTGGCGCTATATACTTATTTGTAGAAGACTGTGAAACTAGGGGGCTCATTTATACAACTTTCGCCCAGCCTTACGAAGGGCAAATATCATTCACATGGCATTTCTGTCACCAGCGCATGGCTGGGTTTTAGTTTTATAAATCAACCTATAGGTAAACATCAATTAAGAAATACTAATGTTTTTCAAACAAAGGCTGCCGTGATAGCAGCAACATGTAGCTGAAGTGTGTTAATGTCCAGGGTCACAAGTGGCAAAGCCTCAATATTACATACATTGTTGATGTAAAGTGGCAAACCATAAAACAGCTGAATACTCAATTTCCAATAAAACATTCAAACTAGTGATTACCCTGCAAATGAGTTAAAACCATATCCCAATAAAACTGTCTAAACCTGCATCACTATGCTATGCCAGCTTTAAATATGTAACTGGTACAATGGCATTAGAAATTCTTCCGCTTGGACCTCAGACCAAAATGTACTGATGTGGTAGTTACCAAAAATATGACATAGCTTCAGCTTCCAGTAATAGTAGTAATATTTTAACATGGGATATTCACTAACGATAACCTCAAATCCATGTTTTATGTGTTATTAGGGTATCAACTGTTTGAACTATGTAAATATGTAGCTAACAGAAATTCAGGAAAACGTGTGTTTTTTTTATCTCTCCAAAAGAATTACTGAGTACACAGAAAAAAAATAGGAGGAGGAAATGTAATCTGCATCGCTCTTTACTGTTGGCTGTGTTTATACCGGCACTCTGAAAATTAGAGGACTATAAAATTGTTCTGATGCAAAATAGTTCCTGTGGATGACAAGCAAAGCTTTAGCATTATGCCCCCTTTAGCAGAGGGTATAATGCCTGACAGCTTGTTAAGATCCAGTGTATTTATTCCCATGTAAAAGCACCTCTGTAGACTTTGCTGGTAGACGCCTACTCAGGATATTTCATGCACTGTTGTGTCTGAACTGTAATTCACTTCTCAATTATAGTACAGGTTTGCACACTTAAGCTGCAATTTTTTTCCATTTTCTGTAATAATTGTAATTTATTTGTATACAGCGTTCACTGTACATGTTGAGCATTGGCCATATGCAATGAGAAACTGCACAGCTTGGAAGAAAATGTCAGTGCTCAAGACAAAAGGAAATGATACTGATTTGCATTGCAGATACACAGTAATTTCGGTTTGTTTATAATATCCATTGTTGAAGGTTAAAGCCTTCGTTTCCAATACAATACACATCAAGCTTCCTAATGAACTTTAGTTTAGTGCCTCCACATAAAGGCACACGTCTTTGGTGCTAAAAGCCCATGTTTACCAAACATAAGCCCTGATTGACTCATTCATTTAACCCGAGGCTAAAACATATATCTATACAATGAAAACAAAACAAAATGGCAGAGAAGTGGCATTGCAGTTATGCCCAGGCGTGTGAGTGTTATGAACAGTCTGTCTAATGCTATCTCAAAAGTTGGGATGCTGAGGTTGCTTAATTAGCTTGGGTTTCTGTGGCTGAGCTAGCCATACCTGGCATTTTCCAGTCATCTACACAGTGTTGTTTACCCTGACTGTCAGTACAAGTGTGGACTATACCTGTGTTCAGGAACTTGTTTGTAAGTGCAATATTTGCTGTTTTATTAAAGTAATTTATCTGCACTATGCAGTGTTGTTATTGTTTAGATTTTTTTTAGCATTCCTGGATGCCTTTTACAGGCTGCAAGTGTTAGTGCGTTGATCTCTAGTAATTTTTGGAACAATACAGTGGCTGGTTGTAATCTGGCAGTTCAGGTGGTTAGCGCTTTCCAATTTATTTACTGTTTAATACATATAGCTACTCAACACATATTCCTTATTTTGCCATTTGGGATGTTGTTAACCAACTAACACTGTACCTTGCCGTTAACAAACACCCCTGTTGGTACACTTTCAGTGTGATAAGAACCTGATTAATTTCTTCATTAACTTGAACTTACAGTGGATCAGTCACGTTCTTACACTGATCAGCAGATATCTCATGCTGCCTGTTTCCTATCTTGCCCCACTTCTGTTCAGAACAAAGATTTCACTAAGGTACTTTGAAAGCCTTTAATAATAATCAGTCAACATTATGCATTGTCAGCTTCACAAAGAATACACCAAGGATGTGAAAACACTTTTCAGCACCAACTCCATGAATTTACACACTACTAAGAACAAAGCTGATTTCTTTGTGCAGGAATTTTCAGCAAAGATGAGACAGCTAAACTTTCACTGAAAATTGGAAAATGAATGCCAATTAATTCCTGTATTAGCATTGATTTGATATATTAGATCTACATTAATTATATTCCACATAATATCTGGCAAATGCATGAAAAATTGCCCACAACAGGATGAAATGGGGATATTTAGTGTGTTATATGAAATGTTTAATGTAACTAAAATCCTATTCAGATTAATGAGGTATAAATCAAATTAGTTTATGGAATAATATATAATATTGGATAAGCCTTCTCTTCCCCCATTAATTATTAAACTCTAACTTACATGCCATATTATCGGCAAGCCAGCAAGACATTAACATGGAAATGTCTCTTAATTAAACAGTACTTTCAGACATTTAAATAGTGATTGCACAGAACTCAATTTGAACTTGGGTTATTATGCTTCTGAGCTTTTGTCTCTAAGATAGCTTTTTTAAGAGGGTGATTTACCAAAGGGTGTAAGTGTTAAAGCTGATCTCCAGCCTTACCTTTAGTCTTGCACAGTTGTACAGGCTCCTCTCCTGTCCTTAACATTGCTTGGTCTGATTTACCTGCACACTGTGAGCTTCTCATAGTGTATTAAAAGCTGCAGCAAGTCAACCTTAGTTCCTAGCTAGCCGCTTTCATGCATTGGATTTGAGTTCTTTCAATCAAGGAGGCTCAGAATCACATGTAGTCATAATCTAAGGTAGTCTGTATTCAAATGCAGCCTGCCTAGGAACACCCACTCCTCTGACAACCACCCATCAAGGCATCTTGATAATTGTATATTTTCAAAACAACTCCAAGAGCATGCCTAGTGTTTGCAACAGGGCTGAGGGATTTTGTCAGCCCTGTTAAATTGCATAGAGAAGCATGGAGCTCTAGTGATAATGTCACTGGGTCTCAAAATAAGGTATTTAATCAAAATGGAAAGGTTTTATTCAATAATATCAATGTAAGCAGATTAAACTTCAACTTTAAGCTTTCAGCAAACACTCATATGAAGAAACAGATGTTTTATATGAGCACAATCTCTTTACACCACAGTAATGGTGTACTTTTTCTACTTTTGGTCAGGGCCCATTCATGCTTTTCTGTTTTTCTGCAATAAAATTCATGTTTTAATGCATGAAAATTAATTTCAAGTAGAAATCCCATTCAGTCCTATGTGGCTGGTTCATACTTACTAACATTATTAGCTCCTTTAGTAAATCAATCTCACTTTTTTAATTCAAATACGATCAAAATGCATCATTTTTGTGCATTAATAGACACTTGCAGTGAGAGAAATATGAAGACAACAATTTCTGAGTTCCTCCTGGAAATACTACGTGCATGGCAGATACTGGATTCAGTACATGCCAGGTCACTGGCAAGTACACAGATTAGGAAAGTAAGTGTGAGAGCTTCTATTGTGCATACCTGTTCTGGGTGAGTGACTCAGAAATACATGTATCAGCATGAGAGCTAGGAAAATTGTGTCTTCACTAGAATGGGGTCTCCTATGGCAGCCTTTATATGTACCAGTGTAGGTTTCCTTTAATTATCCTTAAAGTGTATCTAAAGCTGAATTTTGTAGAGTCAGGATGGGTTAGATCACCTCCTGGCAGTATCTTTTACCAGAAGAAAAGTTGTTTAGAAACTGCAGCTACAGGTCTCAGACCCAGAATATAAAAAATGATTTGTATGGGTTCTAGTGATTGACCATATTTTTAAATAACCCCCACAAATACTTTTCTGGTTAGCCAAATAATATGAGCTCAATATTCAGAACATAGACACAGTGCCATGTTTCACTGTTGCCTGAAGTCAGTTACTACATCCTTTTTTTCCCTTATCATTCTAAAATGGTGTTATTTAAAACTGGATTTGTTGTTAGTTTGTGGCATAAAACAGTTGAAGTTGAAGAACATGTGGAGAAAATAATTGGTAAGTTTACTTGATGAGAAATGATACTGTTAACATAAACAATAAGAAACTGAAACTCACAAAACTTCACAGATAAGTGTAATTTGGATTTGTGCTGCTTTACTCCAGTGCAAATGATATATTTCTTTTAAGCATTTTCTTCTTGCACTAATTAAAACATAAGAAGGGAAGCAATCCATCAAAGTGTAGTGTATGTAATAGCATCCCATAAAGGTTAGGAATGCTTGCCGCGGAGTTGGAGGGCACAAAGCTCAATAAGAGCTTATCACAAGTCCCTGGGGCAGCAGACTTCCACCACGATGCTAATTATGTATTCACTGCTTAGACCTACAAGGGTTTGTGTTTGGCTTTAGGCAAGTGGGAATAATGATGTTACAAAATCTACATCTTCTCCCCAACCTCTGTTAGGCCCTAATCATGTGATGAGAAGTTTTTTTTTTCTGTGTGATGCTGTCATGTGTTTAAAAGATTATATAATTATTTCTCAAACTGATAATTTTATTACTGAATAAAATATATACCATCTTGTGGAAATGTTATTGCTTGAATATTAGGAAAAAATCTAAATTAAAAAAATACAATTTGGTTGAGCTTGTTGATAAGAAGTGGAGAATTGATATATGGGAGGTACCAGCCTTGATGTCTGCTAAATTCAGGACTCTCATCGTCATCCTTGCTTGTTCTTTTCTAGTGAGTCACTGGGACTGATTTACTAAAGGCAAATAGGCTGTTCACTTTTTAAAGGGAAGTTGCATTTTGATATTGAATTTCCCCGCTATCTTCCCCGCTTAATTAATGAGGTAAAGCTTTCTTGACTTCCATCATTCAATCATGTGTAATCAAAAATACTGTGTTTTTATTTTCCTTGCACATGATTGGGTATTCTTTGCAGAGTGATACATTTACTAGGCTAAGGGAAAATTCCCTTCTAAAGTGAAATCCTTTTGCAAAGTGAACAGCCTATTTGATATTAGTAAATCAACCCAACTGAATTGGAACAAGCAGTATTTGAAGTCCTAAGGTATGCTATCTGTTCACTGGGTGGTGCAACCAAGATGAAAGCCCTGCAGCCTGCACTTTTAAAACAAGGCATCAATGGCAGCTCCCCAGTCTCTATCCCTAAAGGTTTACCTTAATTATGAGGTCTAAGGCACTGAAGCAAATATTGTTGATATCGATATGCATCAATATGCATAGTGCAAACATATAAAAGTACACTGTGGCAAAAGTTTCACTGATAGCAAATACTCCAAGCAACAACACTGACTAGATCACTGGCAGAAAGCATCTTACCTTTACATAATTCATTGCTGTGGGGTCCTGGAGGCATAAAGAAATACATTTCTGTTTGCATCTGTACCCTTAGAAATCCCTGTCAACATACTAATGTTCTTCTTGTCCAAGTATAGGTCTTTATTTACTGAAATGCACTTTGATTTATTTTTTTCAGATTATTCCTGTAACTGGTCCCCGTGAAGGAGGCACAAAAGTAACCATTCGGGGAGAAAATTTGGGCCTTGAGTTTTGGGAAATAGAAAATGATGTCAAAGTGGCAGAAGTCAAGTGTACTCCTTTGATTGAGGAATATATTCCTGCAGAACAGTGAGTTCTTGTTGATAATCATAAACTACAGTGTCTTCCAAAGAGAATGTCTTTTTTTCTAAAAATGTCAATTTATCACTCATGTATTTTGAGGGAATGTTTTTTTTTCTGTGTGTTTACCAAAATACAAGGAGAGATGCCAATTTTAAATAAGCTATGTTGCACTTTGATATTGCAGATTTCAGCTTCAGTATTGTTTGTGTGGTGTCTGCTTTGGAAGCATTCTCCAGTCACCAGAAATCATTTTAATAGTACAGCCAATTAAAAACCCTAATTGTTATGTACAAGTACCATAGCTGAGGTAAAGAAAATTGATATAAAGTTATGCTCTTTACATGTGTCTTTAAGGAAAGCGTTTATTATCAACTATTATCAAGAGTGCAGGAGGTTTTTTTCTCTTGTCCTTTCAAACAAAGAAGAGGCACATGCATTTGTTCTACTCTTTCAAAGCAATCCTATATTGCATACTCAGAAAGATATATTTCTCTAGGACACACAGAGACCAAATATGTCTATATATTTATGAACTAGTGAATATTTATGGTTCCACAAAAGTCCATAAAATTCATATAGCTATGTATAATCTTGTAGCAAACCTATAGAACATTCCAATAATGCAAACAGTTCTACTACATTCTGTGTGTTCAGATATCTCTTGTATGACACCGGTATGTAAAAGTAGGTTATATGCAAATTAGTTCCTAATCCAGGCAAACATAACTATGGGGTCTATTCACGAAGCAGCCGAAGGATCTAGCCGTAGCTGGCCGATCCTTCGGCTAGCTTTGGCCCCAGGACCCCTTTGGTTCAGTAGAACTGAAGGGCTGCTGTACAGGCTATTCACTATAGCCCGTATAGCTCCCGAACTTGGCCGAGCGGCTCAGTCGAGCCGAAGGCATATGCCTCGGCTCGGCTGAGCCGCGCTGAAAGCCTAAGCTGGCC